CATATTTTTTATGTTTATTGTAAAACATTTTCTTCATGTATACTCTTTTAAACAGAAACCTGTGATCTAAAGCAGACAAAAATAAATTAATGAACTAAAAGCTAATTATCTTCTTTTGTATTTGTTTTAAAAATTATTGTAATCACAAAGAATTATGAGAGTTTTAATAATTACATGCCATAATGTTTAGTCTGACAGGTTCAAGCAGTGGAGAATGAGAGGAAAAGATTTTTCTCTCTAACCCTATACTTAAAAAACAGGCATTGTTGCCATTTTAGAATGTATCTTTCCATATTTTTCTATGTTACAATGATGATAGCAATAATAGTAACTAATACTTATTTAACCTTTCTACGTGCTATATGTATATTGACTGAGTCCTCGAAACAGCCCAGTAGCTACTCTTATAACCATCTCTCTATTAGAGATGAACAAACTGAAGTGCAGGGAAGTGAAGTGATTCCCCCCAAATTATGTAGTTGGTAAGTGATAAAACTAGCATCCATTCTCTCAACCACTGTACTGAACTGTCTCTTATCAAATATGTTTATATAGCTTTATATACAAACAAAATATAGTCTTTTTAATTGACTTACATTTTAATAAAAATGTTTTTACACTCTTTTTCTGAGACATGCTCATTTTACTTAATAGTTTGTACATCTTTCCAAATTTGTTGAAGGTATTTCTGGTGAGTGGACTAGTGAATCAGAGAATTCCTTAGGTGGCATATTAGTTGTGGTAGGCTAAACTTCTCTGATAAATAAACTCAAATATGTAAAAGTGTAAACACAATATAGGTTTGTTTCTCATGTGACCACCTAGGGCAGGGTCGGGTCGGTGAGTGGCTGTCTTCCGTATTGTGGCCCAGGGACCCAGGCTAACTGTTATTCTTGCATATCCAGAGCATACTGTCATCTGTACAACTGAGGTCGGTTGTCACATCCAGGATCTGGCTGGTGGAAAGGAAAGGTAGCATGGAAAAAACATATTCTCTTAATAGACTGAATCCTGAAGTAGGATTTACACTATTACTTAACACTCATATCCTTCAAGAGGAATCTCGTCACATGGCCATTGGACTATAAGGGAGGCTGGGGAATGTAGTCTACTAAGGAAAGAAAATAAATTCTGGTGGACAGCTAGTGACTCTGCCATGGGCAGTTTTATTATATATTTGTTTAATCATATTTGAAATTTTTTTTAACACATTGATCTCATTGTTCAAGAATTACATGTTTTTAAAGGTATCACAGGTAGTTGTCAAATGGACACATCCTGGTTAGTGGCAGATACAGAATAGAGACCAGATCTTCTGACTCCCAAGCCAAAGCTTTTTCTAATTACTACAAGACCAACTTTACTTTTTAAAATAAGTTAATGAAGTGTGAAGCTAAGTCCTGAGGTGTTAAAGAGAGACATGTCTGAAAACTGTAGCACATGGAGTTAAGCCCATAGAACGTTATCCGTATTGCTGGTGAAACTATTTTAGGTGCTAAAAAGTGATAGAACATTTTGATAACTCTGTAGAGAGCCAGTTTTAGTTGTTAGTGACAGGACGTTACTCCCTGAACCCCACAGCTACAGAACAGGCTGACATTAAACTATTCCTACTTTATTCTCCAGATACTTGCTATCAGTGGTGACTGAGCATATAGGAAAGTACTGAGCACTTACTTATCGAACTTGCTCAGGTGATTTGGGTAACTTAGATTTTCAAATACTATTTACTTTTCAATAAGCATATATCATTAATTTGTTTTTGCTTAAATTAGTTAAATATCAAAATCTCTGTTTCAACTTGCAATTGTAGTCACAGCTAAAGAAATGAGATTCATAATGATGGAGGAAATTCCTTGTTATTTCAGTTAACTTTTCTTTATCTCAAGATACAGAGAATACATATAACTTATATCTCCTTTAGATACCATATTACCATAAATTTATATCCTTTTCTTGAAGATACATATCATGAGTGGCTCTTATAAAATATTTCTCTGGTCCTCTACACACTTTTTGGTAATGCTGCAGGACAATGTTATTAAGCATCCATGAAGGGGCATAGATTTTTATTACGCTTGATTGCAGAAGACAATCACTCCCCTGGAACTTCAAGTCTATGTCAGTTTAACTCTTATATTTTCTCTATAGCTTTTAAATTGAAGAAGAATGCAGGAAGCAGGGTTTGTCATAACATTAGCTACATGCAGGATATGTGTCATTAGCTCTGCCTTTCTAGGGGTGTACCATTGGTTACTTGTGGGTTACTGTTTTTTCCTGTTTCCTGTTTACTGTTTTTTCCATAGGGACAAGGAGCAGGAAAAACCAGTCTTCCCAGACAAATCTCACTCCTTCCAAAAAGATCTAAAGAATTGTTATATTCATGAGAAGACCTCCCCCTTGTAAGTTTATTGGCTTATAAGTTGAAGAAATGAGGCCATAGAGTTATTATTTAAAATAAAAAATTTAAATGCACTTTCTGATTAGTTTCTAAGATTAATAATTGATATAATGGGAACTACTAACTAAATTTTAATGAAAAAGGCTTTATGATATGGGTGAAGAGGATTTAAAAATTAACATTATTGTTTAAGAAGTGTGGTCAATGATGTATTTCTTTCACCTGGATCTTCATGTCAGTACAGAGTATTTTTTGATGGTGCTAAAAAGCAAGGTACTGAAATAAAGTGGACGTAAAACTCAAATATTCAATAGTTTTAGACAAAAATTATCTTTAGTTATGAAATGATATTGTAATGGAGGGAAAGCTGAAAAAAATCTCTACTGATAGGTACCTGTTATCCTTTGTTAGCTGCATATTCTCTGTGAAGTTATTAAACTTACAGTAAAGGAACAAGAACCATTTGAAGAAATCTTGATGAATTATCACTCATTAATTTGAGTGGTTTACTTACCACTTGCAACACAGATATAAGCTTCACCATGTACAGAAACATTGAAATGGTTAAACTTGCAAAAGAAGACTTTAAAAGACTGTTAAATCAGTTTATCTCAGTTGAAAGAATTAAGCCCTTAAAACTGCATCTATATCTGAAGTGTTGCAGAAAGTGCCAATAGTTTAAAATAATTCTTTTGAAATGAACATGTTTAATTAAAGTCATTTTTTGAATATTAAACTTCTGGAATAATTTTTAAGGATTTGGTATCAGGAACAATGGAAAAGACTCCAGACCTATATACAACTGCCTACTCTCCATTTCCAATTAAATATCACAAAGATGCCCTGAGTTAAACAAGTTCAAGACTCAACCACAGCTCCCTCCAGATCCAGTTCTCTTCCTGTGTTTCCTATCACAGGAAAAGGTGGTTTTAAATCTATGATGAGAATGATGAGAATTGACTACCTAGAAAGGCAGATGAGGAAAGCCATGTTCAATGAAGTTGGGGTGGGCGAGAATACTCTGTAGACACTTGGAATTAAGAATTTGGGGAGATGGACTTGCGTCGGAAATGTGGATTTGGGAGTTGTCTACACAGAGGTGATAGCTGAAGTTAAAGTAGGCAAATGAGCATCTGAGGTGGGGAAACAGAGGGGAAAGGGGCCAGAGAAGTTTTTCGTGCATTAAAGTTAAAGGGAGTTTAATGAGAAAAAGTCAATGTCAAGAATCTCACCGGATGAGGAATGAGATAAAGCCATGGGATTAAATGATTTTTGATAGTTTTAAAAACGTGGTTAGATTAGAAGCCAAATTACAGTAGTTATAAAAAGGTGTGTGTGTGTGTGTGTGTGCGCACATTTGTGTTCCAGTCCTTGCTTTACCTCTAACTGGTTGCTTGTCTAATGTTTAATTTAAAATTTCAAACATCTAATGTCAGTAGACCTCAGCTTTTTCATATTTAAAATGAGAGGATTCTTTAGATAACTGATCTAGATTCTCAGAAGTTGAAGTAGACATTTTCAGTGAATGAAAGAGTGAGTGACTAAACTATATGCATTTTCTACCAGTTCTAGACACTACTCACTTTAAGATGTCTTTCTGTGAAAGGAAGACCCAGTAAGAAAGAAATTATCTAATGGAGTCAGCATTTTCAAGGAAAGGATTTTCAAGACAATCAACGCTCTTTTGGAATTTTTAAAGAAATGTTTTGGTCCTATAAAATAATACTTTGTAATATGACAAGGTAAAGAGGTACAAGAGATCCTTGCACTTAATTTTTTTTATTGACACATTTTTGTTTTTGATTTTTTGTGAATTTACATGACTTGAAACTCTGCTAAGTATGGATTTCTTACCCCTTTGATAATATTTATTAGGTGACAGCACTGTAAACACTGGAATTCAACAACATGCAAGAAAAAAACACATATTGGAAATGTAGCATTATCTTTGTTAATTGTTTTCCTATACATTACCAGATTTTTTTCCCTTTTCCAACAAATTCAACCTACATCGAAAACCAGTAGGTGACTTAGGGCACCAGGGCTGCTAAAATAATTGTTTGAACCTCAAGTTCATATTCTCAATATTTGTGGTTCACCTTTCACATTTTGAAAGGCTGGTGCTAAGTCCAAGGCCAGCTGACACAGAGTCTAAGAATTTTGAATGGACTTAGTTTTCAATATAAAATTATTATTATATTATGGGTATGTAACCTATCCTTTCTAGAGTTTTTTTCCCAGTTAAATTTTTCCTCTACAAGTTCACTTATAAATTTATTATAAAAGTTATTTATATTATACTTTAAAATATATAGTATATCTAACTCCATATCATACTATAAGCTAAATTTAATTTCTGGGATATTTACATGAACTGAGATCAATGAGGGAGGTTTTGTCAATGAAGAGACTTTGATTTATAAAATAGTTCTAGGATTTTCTGGCTGACTATTTCAACTACAAATGGCTTTATGTGACATCTTTTTTGGGGAAGCCATTCTTCCGGGAAGCTGGTGGCATGCTGCATACATTATCTAATTCAACCAGAGGACTCGGCTGTCTTTCAAAATAAGACAGATGAGCAAGGTGCAAACCAAAGTAGAAAAAAAGAGCTTTAATACCCAGAATTCAACACAGCACTTAAACAATCAGAATTTTACTTTATTTTAGAATAGGTTTACAGTTGAAAAAAAAAGATATTTACTAAAGCCACAACATTATTTATATGGACAAAACTTTTATTGCAAAACCTTGATACATGAGTATTTAGTAATTTTAGTCCTATATGGATATAGAAGATACTTAAAAAGACAGAAATGATATATTCCAAAGGCTGTAATAGGCACAATATATATGCTTGTATTGGGTCTGCAAGCATTATACTATAGTTTATTACACGTGATCCAAGAAGTTGCAGATTTTCAGCACTATATTCTAAAAAGATACAAAGGAGTATCATATTATGTTGAAAAGCATGTACTATCAATACTACAAAACAGGAGCAGCAGGCCAAACCAACAAACAATTCCTTGGGTTTTGTAAGAAGTAATACATTTATGGCTTTTTCATGTTCATCTTTGAGACTGCTTAGCAACTCTGGCAAGTGGAAAAGAAGAAGGTGGTCTCTAAGAAAACACTAAAGACATCACTTACAAGGCATCTGATATTTAACAAGTTCAAAATTGGTAAACAAAACTTGAGCTTGATCTTAGAGCAAAACTGTGAGGTATTATATCTGCTTCCTCCCACCTATGTTTTGGCATGAAAATCTTTATGCAGAAAAATAAAAGTTTCCCAGGTGACAAGGCAGAAAAATGTTTATGAGAAATTGTTAGCATTTACTTTGGGTTTTAGAAACTGTAAAGAATGAAGGTTTTCTAGGGACCAAGAAACTGGATATTGTCCTTAGTATGGAATTTTCTTCTGTTTTGTCAAAACATGGGTTGAAATATGTATTCATGCTGACAGTGTAGCCACACTGATAAAGGTGAACATGTGAAAGTAAGAAAATAAAAAGCAGATTTTTTCAGAGCATACTACCACTACAGCATATTGAAATTGTGTAAAAGTTAAAAATGTACACCTTAGATTCTCAAAGGTTTTATTTTCCAGATATCAATTAAACATAAGTGCAAAAATGAATCATGCAATATTTTTACCTATCGTCTACTGTGTTAATGATAAGAGGAAAACAGAATTCTTTTTTCCCTTTAAATGCATAATGCTCATGAGTTAGCATGTGGAACTCAAACCACACACAAAGGCAAATCATGAAGAAATGTTAACTATTTCAAAGTGCCCATGAAGGCATGCCAGAAATGATGCTGTTTCTATAGCACAGAATTGTTGGAGGCCACACCTAGCAGTTGCTACTGCAACTTCTCGGTCTTTAATGCTGCTTTTTTTTTTTAATTGGGAGATTCAGATCAGGGAGTCTGTTCTTTCTGGAGGTTAGGCCATAATTTCTGCAGGTTCAGTGACCAACTTGGATCCATCCCATGTTGTTTTGAACTGTTCAGGAACAGGAAATTCTCTCTGGAAAAAGGCAAGAGGAACAAAGTTATTTAAACCAAGGCTTCCTTTTGCAAACAGATAGAAGGCTGGTTAGTGTCACTTGATGGCCAAAGACATTTTATGGAACTCAAACCTATATCATGGAGAAGACTTCTATGTCACATGGAGACTTGCACAGTCATGGGTCAGTTCTGTGACAGTCTGCTAGCCTCACCATTAAACTAGAACTTATTAAGAACCAGACTTTTTTTTAAAGCACTGGATATATGTGAACTCAGTTGACCTCCTACATCCATATGAGCTAGGTATCACTGAGATGCAATCTACAGCAAACAGAGGCCTGAGGGGTTAAGCCACTGACCCAGATGATGTCACTAGTGAGCAGTGCAAACCTAGACTGCCTCTCGTATCCATGAATCTCCACCGAACTCAAACATGCACAGGAATTCAACTGGGGATCTTGTTAAAAATGCAGATTTGGATTCAGTAGATCTGGGGAAAAGAATGACAATCAGCATTTCTAACAAATTCTCCAGGGATGACGAGGCTGTTGATCCCCAGTCACACTGAACTTTATCTGGTGTTATCTGTCTGCTCTTCGATGAAATATAAAAACGAGCTTCAGGTTGTATATAAATTTCTCATCCTTCATCCTGCTACCCTACTTTTCCCATTGGGAAATACATGCACACGTACCACATACACACACACCACGTGCCACGGCAGACCCTCCCCCACCACACACAAATGCAGAACAGCCAAAATAAAAGTAGTTTGAAATCTCTCCTTTCTGTATGAGGCTCTCCAGTCATTTCAGAAGAGGATCAGAAAGGAAGACGTGGAGCAGTCCCCTTGGCCCCTGGCTTGTGTGGCTTCCCTGGACTTCATACACACAGCACTATTGAAACCACAACTATCTAATAAGCTGATGCCTGTGCTCACCATTGCTGAGATGTGAGGTTTCACGGGGTACACACATGAGTACATATCTTCCTGTATATAGGATCTGATTATTTCTTCTGGAAGAAGCCACTAATTTATTTATTTTAAAGGGATAGCCCTTTCTATCATGAGTGATGAATTCTCCCTGAGTGAAACCTACAGTGCAAAGTCTTATGATGAAGCAAAGAAGTTACAATCTCAATAACCTCGTGTGCGTGTAGCTAGTATCCCTTCTGGGGTTCTTCTTGATGAGTAAAGAAGGCCAGGTAGAGAATACTCCGGAGTGAAGGCACCAGAGTGTAGAAAAGATAGTAACTTCTCTACAGCTGTTTGGAAATTTTGGGGGGTGTAAAGTGATAGTAATCTGATGACACATCTTCTCTGGGGGGACAGATTGCTTTGGGGTGAATCATCCCTACCCTCCATTCCCAGATTACAATGCCTACAGCAGGACTTCAATATTGCTCTCTATTACCTTTGACTGGAAAAAGCATGAAGAGGGCAAAAGATAATTTCCATATAGAGGGAAGACTACATCATCACCCTCAGGTTTTGACCTATACTCATCCTTAGACCGGTGGATCTTACTCTAGGCTTCATACTGGAATCATCAAGGAAGGTTTAACAAATGCAGATGTCTGGGTCCCATGCCTGGGGACTATACATTAATTAGTCCGGAGTGCTCATCCAAACCCTAATGCTTTTCTTAGCTGATCCAGTTCCCATGCAGCCGAGCTTTCTGCTTAAATAGCTGCAAAGGCCAGGACTCATCCTAATTTTTGGCTCACTTCTCTGGACCTGCGCAATAGTGGCTTTTGCACATTAGTAGCTTGTTTTAGCAGTAGCAGAAGGCTCAGCTGCATGGGAACTAAGTAGCAATAGGTGGAGAATGTGAGAGAAGACTCTTCTCTAAAGCTCAGGGTCAGGCTGACCATACACCTAGTTGTGAAATGTGGCCCAGTGCTGGCAGAGTTTTGTTTTTCAGACCTAAATGATAAATTGTAGCCTGCGACGTGTAGGATGTGTCTGGGTAGCACTGGAGAACTCACTGAGAGATGGGGAAAGGGGAGTTTAGCAGGCATTTGGTCCTGCCCAAAATATCCACGCTTAGAAAATGTCCCTGGGTTCAAATAGCCCAGAACATTTATTTTTACTTTGGGTTTACAGGATTAATATGTAAAGACTATTACCATGTTTTATTGGGCCCATAATTGTGTTGGGGGCCTCCCTAAGTCCCCTAACTGCCCCCCTTGCAAATCTCCTGGGTCTCACTTCCAGATGCAGACTTGGGGAGTGGGCATGTCCATCAAGCAGATTCTTATGCTGGGCTTGAGAACTTCCGATGTAAGAATACCCACACAAATTTGTCTACTTATTATTATCACCCCCCTCCACTTTTCCCCCAACGCATTTCTCCCTCTTTTCTGTTTGCCTCCACCATAGCCAAGGGCAATGTTTGGTCCTCACTAATAGGGGCTTACTTGTTTGCTGTACTACGTGATACAAGTTAGCCCTGTAAGGGCATTATCAGCGACCTGCCTTGAGAGCCACAAACTCAGGAGTGAGCACCGTCAAGGAAAGGAAGAGGGGAAAAAGATATGTGAGGCAGCCCTCTGAATGCCTCTCCTGCCTGTGAATGATTCAACAAGTGAAGCTCATGAGTTGGAAGCTGAGTAGTCAATCTCAAAGAATGTTAATAATGAAGGCTTGAGAAAGATTCTTTACCATCCTTTAAAAGGTACTCACATAATCGCCATCCTGAGGGATAAGTATGTTCATTTCAGAGGACTTGGCACTCACTATCTCGCAGTCTAACGCATCTTCACTGAGGTATACGTGGCAGCCTTCTGTCTTATTAATGGAAATTGTCGGCACTTTTCCCATGACCTGAAATAGAAAAAAAATGATATGGGACCAACGCAAAGAAACAGGAATTATAATGTTCCTAAGTAGGTACAATTCATGGGCCTAAGCAGGTGCGAGGGATAGCTGGATCAGAGCTGGGGGCTGGTTAAGGGCCCTGTCTCGAGGCTGCACTGGTAGGTGTCATTTGGGGACAGAATGAAAGGACCTCTCAAGGGGATTCTCAAACCTCAGGGTCTCTTTCCTGAGACAAAATAAAGGGTTAGTTTGAAAACAGCAGCTAATGTTGAGAAAAAGTCTTACAACTATGTTAGTGGCTTTGAAACATATATTTGATTTCATGATAAAAAGAACAAGATGCATTCCCCTTTATGTGTTTAAAATTTTAGTTTTGACAAATCTCTATAAAAGTTGGATTAAAACAAGTGCTAATATTGTCATTTAAGAGCAAATAAATTGTTCTGTAACTGAGATTTTCCCTGAAACGAAAAAGGAATAAATAAGAAACACTGCAATTCTTTTCACATAAGTCCTTTGGTAGATAAAAATCTCACTGGCTGAATGTGAAGCTTAAATGAGATAATGGGTGTCTAAGTATTTTGAAATGTATTAATTTCAGGAGTGAAAACCGGAGACCCAGTTCAAGCCACTCATTGCATAGGCAAAAGGCACCATACACGAGAGGAGGCGATTCTTTGTATTGTTTTAAAAATCTAAGTGCTATAAAATTTTCAATCAGTTTTAAATTTCTCTTTTTACAGTCAGTTTTCAGGCATCCCCCCAAATCTCTATAGGGGTAGACTGTTCCCCCAATGACCATATTACAACTCTATAATTTTCCTCCTTGTAATGGTAATTGAAGCGATAAAGACATCTCCTCTTTCACCCTGAAGAAAAGGCAGGATTGCAAATCAAAGGAGCAACTCCTGTTGATGGTGCAGGTGATGTAAAGAATTCCTTAGGGGGAGTCTAGCCAGGTCACCACTCTTCTCTGTTTTCTCCTCTCTCCACAGAAACTGGACACCGAGTTGGAAGTAAACCCCAGTACCAAAAAAAAAAAAAAAAAAAGCAGAGGTAGTTCAAGGTCAGGTAAGCACAGGGCTTTGCCATAAGTACAATAAAATAATAATACATATATCTGTATTTCAAGAATATGTCAGCAGTAACATTCTTGGTGATCTAGAGTTGTTTATCTTATAGTGATTAAGAGCATTTGCATAGTGACCAGAACTGTACGAACAGCAGGCAAGGAAAGAGAAGGAGCGTCTGTCAGTGAGTCATAGGTGATTTGTTTATGAGACAGAGTGGGGCCACACGAGGCAAGCACATTATGCTAATATATTATATTTATGCATCACTATATTATATGAACAATGCTGAAATGTTCTATGTATCCGAAGCTCTAGAATTAAAAAGAAATAGCCCTGAATTCTTAAGAATTGTCATTTCCACAGCATTCTGGTCAATATTACATTAGAGTAGGAGATACACACCCTTTTCCCCTGAACACTTTGAGAACAGAGATTGTTTCTTATCAACAGAACTGGGCCAAAAGTAGCTCCTCCGCTGAGTGACAGGTGCTATGTGACCTTGCCCAGGCCAATGCTCTAGCATTTCACACATGCTTCTGTACTTTGTTCTGTTTTTCAAAAATTTATTTCTCTGTAAAAATTTCCAAAATTTCCATGGAATCTCCTAGTCTGTTCTTTCTCTCATAATTTCTACTCTTTTCTAGAGTAATTTACCAGAAACAGAATTACTGAATCAAATCATGTAAACTTTGGTCTGTGCCCTTTCAGTCTTTTTGGCAGCAGCACTGAGGTAAAATCTGCAAACATAAAACTCACCCAGTTTAAGGGTGCTGTTTAATTATACTTGGTAGATTTACAAAGCAATGCGACCATCCCTTCAATCCAGTTTGAAGCTATTTCCAGCATCCTCACAATAACCCGGTGCCGGTTCACAGTCCGTCCCTGTCCTCGCCCGCAGGCGGCCACTGCTCTGCTTCCTGTCTCTGCTGTGTCCAGGCCCTTCTAAAGGGCGTATTAAACGTTTTAAGTAGACAGTGACGTTCCCTTGGTTTGAACGTCCAGAAGTTCAGAGAGTATTCAGTTAAAGGTCTCTCTCTGAATGTCACTGCCAAGTTTCTCTCCCTCTGGGACAGATAACTGTGGTTTACCCTTCCATTATTTTTAGAAATCCTGACCATATCCTTAAAAATTATGATCCATTTTAAACACAGAAACATAGAAAGAATATCATAAAATATGTAAATGCAGATATGTCTGTCACCCAGCTTTTTCAGAGTTGAACATTTGTCTTATTTGCCTTTGTTTTAGGACTGTACTCTCCCAGTGTCTTTGAAGCCCCCTCCACACCTTCCACCGCCCTATTCACCTCCCTTCCTTCCCCCTCAGATGTAACTGCTCTTCAGGATTCTGTGTTTATCACTCACACCAGGTCTGTCCCTTGGGTAAGGTGACCTTGAGCTTTCATAAGTGTGTTTAACATGTGCATATTGTTTTACATGTTTTCAATCTTTATGTAAAGGGACACATTGTACCATGCCTGCCGTTCTGTAACTTGCCTTTATTGCTTAATGTTGCTTTGAGAGTGATCTGTTTTTATATATGTAACTGTAGTTCATGCATTTGAACTACTCTACAATATTCAGTTAGTGGGATTTATTTATTCACTTACCAGTTGGTGGACACTTAAATTGCTTTTGTTTTTATTGTTATTATGAATGATACTGCAATAAGTAATTTTACATATCTCATGGACATAGGCACTAGAGCTTCTTTAGTGTAGATACCTGAGAGAGAAATTGCTTGGTCACAGGCTATGAGTGTCTGTAACTTTATCACATGGCGTCAAATCGCTCTGCACAGTGAGTGCAATAGATTTACTGTCCCAACACTGATGTATCAGGGTCCCAGTGTTTCACTTCCCTAACAACCCTTGTACCATCAGACTCTTCACTATACAGGTGGTCTTAAAGCTGCACAGCTATGACAAAAATGAGTTTCAGCTAATATGTCCCCTGTAAAGTAAGGATAGTCTGAATGCAAAATTTTGATTGTGAAGACATCTTTAATTGTAGTATTAATTTGCATTCCTATTTCTATTAGGTAGGTCATGCGTATTTTCACATATTTATAAAACACTTCAGTTTTTTTTCTTCTCAAAATTGCCATAATATTCTTTTCCCATTTTTCTATTAGGTTACTGTTTTTCTCTTATTGATTTGTGTTAATTTATTTATAAATTCTGGTTACAAATCCTTTTTGATTAACAGCATTATAAATATCACTTTCAAATCCATGGTGTGTCTTTCTACTTTATATATGGTGTCTTCTATTGAATATATAATTTTAACTTTCATGTGGTTAGATCCATCTGTCCTTTTCTTTACAGTTTGCGTTTGTTGACCCCCAAAGCAACAAAAGAACAAGTAAAACAAAGAAACAAAAAAAACTCATAGATACAGATAACAGTATGCTGGTTACCAGAGGGGGAGAGGGGTCGGGGGGAGGATGAAGAGGGTAAAGGGGCCAAATGCATGGTGACAGGAGACTAGAGTTTGGTTGGTGAGCCAAAATGGAGTACATAGGTGTTGTATTATAAAGTTGTACATCTGACATTTATACAATGTATTAGCCAATGTTACCTCAATAAATTAATAATTTTTTTTACAGTGGTAGTGGTGAAAAGCCCAGTGAAACAAAAGAGAAATATCTATAAGACTAGAATACAGTTTTAACAAACATTATTAGGAACACATCAGGTAAATTAGGGGTGATTAACAATAGAAAAAGAGTGTAATCAAAGAAAGAAGTTATACCTGGCCAAAGGGAAGAATTCCTTTAGCTTTTGCACATTACAAAATACCGTTTGGTTAAATCAAAATTATTAAAGGGATGCAGATTTTCTCCTGCTTTGCAAATCCAATTTCAGTTCTACCTTCCAGGTTGCTTATTTGATTCCACTGACTCTTCAGAAAAGCTTTTCTTTTAATTAATTAATTAATTAATTAATTATTAATATTTTTAAAATTTTAATCATTGTTCAAATACAGTTTTCTCCTTTTTACTCCCAATCCAGTCCCCCCTCCCACACTCCCCACTTCCCTCCCATTACCACCCTCCCCTTAGTTTATGACCATGTGTCCTTTAAGTTTGTTCCTGTGAACCCTTCCCACTGTCCCCTTAAATTCCCTCTTCTCCTCCTCCTCACTCAGAACCAGTGTTTACTGAGGGGAGAAAAAAATTCTTTTTGGGATAGCGCTAGTATGCTGGGAGAATTTCTTAGTATTTTTGTTCATTCACTAGTTGATTCATTTACGTCTCTCACTCCTCAAATAATTATTGGACACCTAGCATGTGGAGGTCTGGGCTGTAAAGATTAATTAGCTGTTCTTGAAACAGAGATGGCAAACCAGTACTTGGAGTGCAAAACAGGAAGTGTTCTAAGAGACTGAAAAAGACAAACGAACACTGAGCAGCAAGAGAGGGCTTCGGAGGGGGGCTGACAGGGCTGTGTCTAGTGGGAAAGGGAGGAGTTTTCCAGGTGGACACGAAGGGCCCCTCTCAGGCAGAGGGGATGACCTGGGCAAACCACAGTGAGGGCAGGGCGTGATTCCGAGGGTCACTCACCTGCATCTGTATGTCCTTAGAGTTGATCACTTCCACAATGCCCACCACATTGTCAAACACCAGAGCAAACTTCTTACAGTTGTCTAAGAAGAAAAAAAACTCCACTAAATATACACAGCATATTTATACTTATTATGGTAACAATGACGCCATAGTTCTGCATTACCAATTGTAATGGAATTTATTTTCCCTTTCATCTGTAGGGTAGACTTGTTGCATTTGAAAATATAAGCCACTTGTTTCAGTTCGGTCTCTGAAATCACAAGGTCATTTCTGTCCTCTTGGTACTCCTAAAATTAAAACATATGCAAACATTAAATGTAAGGGTGTTTAGATAAATTGAATCCATTGCACACTGAAACTACTATGAAGTTCAGCATTCATTAATTATAGCTTTTTAATATGTTCTTTCCTCTAGAACCATTTTCTTACAGACTAAACCACAGGTCTTACTTTGTCGTTGTGGTGTTGGGAATAGATGGAACCGCTGTTTGGAAGGGTGGTTGGTGTCAATTTGCAACTAGTCAGGTATCAGGTGCCCTGGTGTGGGGGTTGGGGCTGGACCAGGGATGGAAGAGTTTTATGTGCAGTCAGGAGGCTGAATCTGGACTTACTGATGCTGTAGCAAATCTGCTGTGTCATGTAGGAGTTGGGCAAATGCACTATTAAGGGCCACTATAGTGGTCTAAATCCCAGTGTGTTCAGACCATGGCAACCTTCTAGGGGATTTTGGTCCTCAATCTTTAGGGAAGCCCCTGGGATCGGTGAGGGGCACCAGCTTCATCCAAAGTGTCCCTGTCTTGCCCTCACAATGGCGGAGGTGGCGGCTGAAGCAGTGGTTATAGCAGCACCTCCGTCGGGGCTAGAATGAAACATCCTACAGCTGATCAGAATAGGGCAGAGATTAAAAGTTTATGAAAAGAGCACTCCAGCTCATAGAGACAGAAAGTAGAATGGTGGGTGCCAGGGACTCAGGTGAGAGGCCATGGGGAGTTAGGGTTTAAGGGGAGTACAGAGTTTCAGTTTTAAAGACAGAAACAGTTCTGTGGATGGATAGTGGCGATTGGTGGCAAAAAGTGTCAATGTCCTTAATGCCATAAAACTGTTAAGATGGTAAATTTTGTGTTACGTGTATTTTACCACAAATAAAACATAATTTTAGAAGTTGGAGAAAATAATAAATGGGAAACAATGAAAAGTTAAACACGTTTATGGAAGCATTCAGATAGGCTCCAGTTTCTATGCTTGCCAGCCTTTGCCCCTGTCATTGCACTCGGAAATCCTGAAGACCTTGGTGCGTGGTTTTGCCGCTAGTCCTTTCGTCAGAGCGCATCAGGGATGAAGGCTAAAGGGCTTCACTCACTACTCTCCACTTCTTTCCTTCCAACTCGAACACAGGAGCATGTTTCTGAAGAGGCTCTGATTGGGGAGCTTTGGGGCCTGGAGTGTGGCTTTTGGTGGGAGATGGAGTTTGTCCTCCTTGAGCTCGCAGGCCAGGATTCTTGTATGTCTTCTGGGCATCTGTGACGTGCCGGAGCCCTGGGAAGGTAATGCACAGACACATTGCTTTCCATTGTATGCACAGGGAATGCCCCTGACTTCTTAGATGGACGTGAGGGCAACAGCACCACAATTTTGGCTCATGCCCTTTTCATAGCAGCCTTATGTTTTCTCAAGGTTAATATGCACAATTTGAGACGTGTGTAAGTTAGAGTTAATGGAAACATGGTAAGCATTTGAGGAACCACTTGTTTTTTTCTTTCTTTCTTTTTTAATACTCACCCAAGGATATGTTTATGGAGTTCAGAGAGAGAAAGCAGGGGACGGGGGAGAGAAACATCAGTGTGAGAGAGAAATATTGATTGGTTGCCTTCTGTATACTCCCTGACCAGGGATCAACCCGCAGCCTTTCGTGTATGGGGAGACGCTCCCACCAACCGCGCCACCTGGCCAGGGCAGAGGGACCTCTTCTTAAAGGTGATAAGATGATACATAAAAATTCTGCTAAAAGCAAACCATTGTGCCAAAAAGGATCACTTGATTTACTTCCTTTCCCATGGCTAAATCATTCCCCAGACACAGCCAAAAGGTTAGGGGACTGCATTAAGTATGTGTTGGGGTACAGAGTCAGTTTTAGGGTTACAGATCCATTCCTTCACTTTTCAGATGAGGAGGCATTGCAGCTCATTGGAGCCAGAGAAAAATATAAATTTTTGGTTCTTAACTCCCAGCCCAGTTCATAGGGACACTTATACCATAATTCTCATTACCCATGCAAAGCAAAAATACATTTGCATAAAGTTTTGGGTAACATGACTTTATTAAAGATTGTATGATTTTTTAAAAAAATTAACTATTCACTGAGAGGACAAAAGTAGTTCGATGATATAACTCCTTGACAAGCCTATACATTGCTCGAGGACATAGGCGCCATCATTTGTCATTTTTATTTCATTGGATCTTGATGCCTTGGTTGTAGGCAGTGCTGTAACATCAGGGGCCAAAATGGGGAGGCAGTGTGCGGTGGTCAGTGGAGCACCCAGAGTCTCTTGAGTTCTTTCTGGTTCCTGCAACAGCCCACTGAACCCATCTACCTTGAGATGCAGGTTTGCAGGCCCTGCCTTCCCCTGCTTTCCCAAGAGCAGCTCCCTGCATTCTGGGACTGGGGCAGGATAATGCATCCATGGCAAGCTCTGGGGGAAGCTGTGTGCCTGGAGTGCCAGGGAAACAGCTTCAAGGTCTGGTTTTTCTCACCTTTTGTAATCGCCTCCCCTTGGTTAAGTTGTGCAAATAAAGCTGAACGTAAAGGAGAGGACTCTTCTTTTCTGCTTTCATTTTCAAAAAGTGGAGGTGGCCCTGGAGGAGGTGGAGGAGGAGGGGGTGGAGGAAGGCCAGGCCCAGGGGAGAGGGCAGACAATGTGGATGCAATCGATGCTACTGGGCCCTGTGGGGAGAGAGCAGAGGGAAGGCACTGCATTGAGACGAATGTCCTTGCTGAGTGATGGGATGTTGCTAACATCACGTACAGCCAACGTGGTCAATGAGGGGTTTTGGGGTGCCCGACTCACAAAGGGCACCCAGAAGGTACACTTGGAAATCATGGGTCTGTTTGGGACAACCTGGGACACAGAGAGGATTCACCTTGAGAACATGGAGCACGACTCAGCTGTATAGATCTGTCAGCAGAAACTCCATATCCAGGACTCACATGGCTAACGCAGAGGGAAACAAAACCATTATTTACAAATTCATGTCAGAGCTCAGGATATACATGAGACTGAGCCTTGCCCAATTGAGAATCATACGAAGAAAGTGGTCCAACTGATAAGAGGATTCGCTTTTGAGGACACTGGGAATTGCAGCCACCAAAGAGAGAGAGTTAAAAATTATTTAACAATTACTAGATTTTTAAAAAACCTTTCTGAGCAACTAAAGAAAGTAATACTGACATTCTTTATGTGGAGCTCCTTTTCCAAGCATGCATGCATCAAACTGACCGCCAAGCAAGGGCCAGGTGGGACCTGGGTGCTGTCAAGCCTGCAGGTGGCCAGGGCCCAGGCCCCGCTCATGACTTGGTTCCTCTGATGCTGTATTTTAGTGAGCAAACCAAAAACTGGACTTTCACAGGGCAATATCTATGCTTATTCTTATCTTCTTTGCTATCTGAAGTACAGCCTTTATTTTAAATATGAAGTTCTAACATATTGAAATGGCAATAGAAGGATTTGATCTAACATTTTGAGAGGAACCCAAAGAAGCAGTTGTTAGAGAGCTTAAAACTGGTAGGTGAGGGGCACACATGTACAATAAAGTTGTCTTATACAACATTTTACTTTTAAATCCTGAGGTAGAACACTGTATTCCTGTGATAAAAAATGTTTTTCAAGGATCACACAGTTCTTGAGGCTGACCAATTTTTTTGGTGAAAAAAATAGAAAATTTAAAAGAGAGCAATAGAAATGTGGATTAGGCTCAGTTACTTTCAATACCAAATGCAACATGTAACACATTGCATAGTGGCAAATATTAACAAAGACGCTGCATCCTTATTTTCCTAAACAACTCAATATTACAAAGTATTAATATCAAGTTTTTAATCTGTGGTAGCTTTTAGTTAAAAAAAAAAACTCAACACAATTCTCAAAGTTCTTGTATAATCCAATCCCTATTAAGTGTAAAATTACCCTGAAATAAAAGGTTCTTCTCTTAGTACAGAATTACCAGCTACAAAACTGTCATGGGGATGTAAAATACAGCACAGAGTCAATAATGTAATAACTCTGTGTGGTAGGAGATGGGAACAGGACACACCACAGCGGTCATTTCGAAGGGTACATAAATATCTAATCACTATGTTGTACACTTGAAACTAACATAATACTGTAAATATGTCAAGTATAATTGAAAATAAATTTTAAAAAAGATTTTTTCGATTCATGGTGCATATCTGAAAAACTGAGCAGTCTAGGGATCTCACCTCCTGAAGTTATAAAATGGGATGGTTTCGTTTCTGAGGAAGACCAGCTTGACCCCATCAGGGTTCTAGGTCAGGCAGAAAATGTTCACATAGTTCTTGAGACTGACCAATTTTTTAAAGTATATTAAATGTTTCTATTATGTTACCGAGGTGAACTTGAGAACTTGCTCTGAATCATAAAGAGCATCAAATACAAGCTTTAGGCATCAAATAATATTCCAGTCCTCTGTTCCAGGCACCGGGAGCCAGAAAACATTACTTGTCCTCATAAGCACGTAATAACTCACGTGGTCGGTGAGGGGACAGATCCCCTCTCCCACATCTGAAACACGACGGCTTTCCAGTTCTCCTGTTTTGTGGAAAGGGAGCCGATACTGGCTTCTGAATCCTAGAATGATTTACATAGTTCCCTCCCTCTCAGAATTCAGAGCCTCTCTCCAAGAGCCATAAAAGGACACTGAAACCAATAAGCCACATATTTGACTTTTTGGAACTTTGATACATTCAGATGGCTGACCCAGGAACACTAAACCAAGGATTTACTGCAACAAATGTTGCATATAAAAGCCAAAAAATAGGAGAGCTCAGGACCAGCTGAAACTCTGCCTTCGATTTATCCTTTGTGTGTTCTGGCTCATGCCAGTATCAGCCCCAGCGAGAACACAAAACGAGGTTCTGGTTTCCAAGGTGACTTTATAATTAGCATTCAGGGGCTTTACTGTATACAGTGAACTTGAAAGCAAACTCATTAGACATTCCCTTAACAGGAGCTCTGTGGGCTGCCCATTGCAGTGCAATTTGCCTCTTTCTCTTCTCTTCCTCCTGCAGGGTATTACAGCATATGATTCCAGAGCCTTCTGCATCCTCATATGTGCCTGGCCATGAGTGGTAGCCACATCAACTGGAATCACAGCCTGGCATTAAGTCTTCAGGAATTCCAGTGAAAACAAGGGAGATGGTCAGGGAAGGGAAGGGAGCCAAAAATGCTGGAAACTCTAGGATATGCCAGGCACTAATTGTTTCCATTCATTTAACAAATATTTACTGCTCAGTATAGGGCAAGCTCTATGCCAAACTTGTCTGAACATTAGAATCATCTGAGGATCTCTTAGAAATTCCAAAACTGGGGCCACATTGCTGAAATGCTCTCTGGAGCAGTGGGACACAGACATCTTATTTTGAATCTCCTTAGGTGATTCCAATGTGCCAACAAGTTTGGGAAAACCACTGTATGCTATGTGTTGAGATTGATCTTAATCATCACAGTAATATCACTAGCATTCTATCAAAATCCTTCATTAACAGAAAATAAAGCAGGAAATCAGAAAGGCTGACCCAACATTAAATGGCTAGTAAGTGATAGAGACGTGACTCTAGCACATACCTGCTAGATTCTGGAGCCTTCTTCAGGATTGGTGGTTGCCCGAGGTGGGGTGCAGGGGAAGTGGGTGAAGGGGGGTCAAAGGTACAAACTTCCAAGTCTAAAATGCATAAGTCCTAGGGATGTAATGTACAGCTTGCTGATCATAGTTAATAACACTGTACTGTAAACTTGAAAGTTGCTAGAAGAGTAACTTTTACAAGTTCTGATCGTAAGAAAAAGTTGTAATTGCACATTGGATGGATACTAACTAGATTTATAGTAGTGATTGTTTTGCAATCTATACAAATTTCAAACCATTATGTTGTAGACCTTTAGCTAATATAATGTTATATGTCAATGATAGCTCTCTAAAAATTATTAAAAAATAAGCCTTCTTTAGGGAAATCTTTTGTGCCGTACTCAGACTTTTTTTTTTTTTTTTAAATAGTCACTAGTCAAATTAAAGAACCAGAGGTATGGGCTACCTCAAGATATGTGCAGCACAGCTCTTGGGCCCCTTGAAGCTGTGAAACCAGCTTCATTTTTATCTCCATTACATCCCGCTCTATCCCCCTAATGCCTCAGCGGCTGGCTGAGCTCCTACAGCCACTCTGGAATGAGGCCTGATTTTATGGGGCACAGACGGGGGAGTTTCAGGTGTTGACAGTAGCACCTCAGCATCAAGTCACCCTTGATGCTGGTTTGTTGTGATTCTGCTCTGGTTCTAGAAACTGGCCTCTTGCCTTACTCATTTTTTTCCTGAGTACCCACTGGTTCCAGTAATGGGCTACTTGCACCCAAATCTTGGTTCCCTGTCTATTGCTCAAGTTGAATGGAGACTTAATTACCCCTCTGGGACAGCAGGGACCTCTTGGTGAGATTCCCTGTAAGAGAAACTCGCACGGCAGAGGTAACGTCTAGACTGAATGAGAAGTAGTGGAGCCCATCAGGGCCCACAGCCTCAGTTGCCCGCTGAGGACGCCGATACTTCTCTTTCCCATGGACTGAGAGGCCCTGTGGGAAGTGGAACTAAGAGGAGAAAGGAGTCCTGGGGCTGGGCAGGCGTGGCTCGCTCCCCACCTCTGCCCTGCTCCGCCCCCGCCCCAGTTAGGCCCTGGAAGGCATAGAGCCCTTGAGCAGCGGATAGCGCTCCAGGAACCTTGGGAGAGTCCTGAGAGAGTCGCAAAGATGACTGACTGGTAATTAGCCTGCAGACCACATTGGTTTCCGGGGACAGAGGCTACAGTATGGGATCAGATCTACAAGGCAGAATAAAACCACATTTTAAAAAAGATGCCGTTTACTTGCAGATTATCCAAATAGTTTTGGTCCTTCTAAAAGAACCCTTTGCTTAATAAAATATTATTTTATGGTGTGTTTTAAGCTGACAATTACTTTAATTTTATTTCTAAAGTGTAGAATTAAACATCTAAAAGCTCAGGACCTAGAGGATTACGATATCCTGTGCCTGGCGTAGGCCACACGGATCGGAAAGTAAAGGTGAGGAACCTGCAGGGAGACAACTTGAACTAAGCAGCAATGACTCCCACCCCCTCACCGGAACCCCCCCCCCACACAAAAAAGCTGCTTTATTAGGTTGCTGAAATGAGCCTTGAGTACCTCGGAGCCTCAGAATTTAAAAAAAAAACTTATTCAAGTCATTTTAACAATGGCTTACAACTTAAAAAAAGAAAAGCCGTACATTTATTATTTTAAATGGCCATATTCAGGGGGCAAAAGTTCACTTATGTTCTAAGAACACAGCACAAAATCTGAAAAAGCTGCTTTTGAAAGCTTTATTAAGATTAATTTTGAGAGCAGATGTTTGATTATATACTTTTTTTGGAGGGGGCACAAAGACTTTTTAAAATGTCTGCAAGTTCCTTTCTCTAACTTAATTTCGACTGTCCTGGGAACAGCTGCCCCCTCTAGTTTTAAATATATGACCTATAGCTATCAGATAATGAAACCATTGTATGCAGCATGAGGAAAGCTTGCAATTTTTTTGTTTTACACATACATACTATAAAACTATATAATTATATTACATATAATATACCTATGTACTAATGTGTGACTTTTTCATTAAATGTTACTTGAATAA